TGTAAAAAAAACGGTGTTCCCCTTTAATGTCCACAAATCATGACAGAAAGAATATTTTGGTGCAAAGATTGATGTTTGATTGTACGGGACCAGATAAGGGCCCATGAGGGAAATGGGGATATTTTGAATGTCTACTACTGTAATTGGTTGAATTTTCTCAAAAGAAGATAAAAGATCAAACAAAAACTGTTTTGATTGGAATATCAATCCCAAACCAAGAACAAACAGACTTTTTTGTTAAATATAAGATTGTAGGAATCGATTAGATTGGACATGTACTGCAGCATAGCATGTTTTGCATAAATTAATATATTCTGGGTTTTTGTTTTAATCCTTTGCACAGTCTGAACTGCAAAAATGTATCTACAATTAAAAAAAGATAAGTTTATTTCCCCTTAATTGAAGCAGATCAATGAGACAATCTGACAATGGAGAGGTTAATTATGCCGTTTAAAATACGATAATGAAGTTGTCCCACCACGTGAAAATTGGTCAAAAAGTCATGATTGATCGACATTGGATGGAAAGCTTAAAAACAGTCATTTTCAGATTGTTGAAAAGACACTGAAAAATGGATTTGCAACATCTTAGCTATTATTGGACTAAAGCGGGAAAAAAATCAGACTGAACAAACAGCCCAATTTTCAACTAATTCTGGACTAAACCAAGAGCCTAGTGTTTGCCTTTAGTGTTTGTTTTAAATGTGAACCATTTTCTATTGGTAAATTGTCTTAAACCTGCTGAAATCGTGGGAAACAACACTTGCTTACAGAAAAATAGTTCTTAGTTATCTTAGTATTTGTGCAGTGAAGCGTTAGGCATCCACCTGCTGAATTCTCCTTTCTCTCAGTATCCCGGTTGGAGCCAGATGGATGATGGGAGCATCCGTATTGCAGAGGTGACAGAGGACTCTCTTGGCACCTATACCTGCATGCCTTACAATGACCTGGGTTCCATGGGATGGTCTCCTCCTGCTCCCCTGGTGCTAAAGGTAACTACGTTTAAATGCCCCCCCCACCCGACGCCCAGGCTGGTACTGACTCGTTTTGGCTGTTTGACCATGGCCAGGACCCTCCAAAATTCTCTGTGGTTCCTGGAGGGGAGTACAGGCAGGAGGCTGGTCGGGAACTGGTCATCCCCTGTGAGGCAGAGGGAGACCCCTTTCCAAATATCACATGGAGGAAGGTACCGACTCGCATCTTACAATGCCATCTCATCACTTCATATTAATCATTTTTACACCATTTCATTAATTTCAGCCTTGTTGGTTGTAACACTGCAAAAGCCTTTGGATGACACTGTCTTGTTGCTTGTGCCAATTGTTCATTCGGTCTCCTTCTCTCCTCGGGGGCGGGGCCAACCACAGGTAGGGAAGCCCAGTAAAAGCAAGCACAATGTTCTGCCTCGGGGCAACTTACAGCTGAAGTCGCTCACAAAGGATGACCACGGGGAGTGGGAGTGTGTCGCCACCAACGTTGCCACAAGCATCACTGCCAGCACGCATGTCCAAGTCATAGGTACCTTCACACATTACACTCATAAATAACAGAGGAATCAGCAGCTGTTTTCTGATTATTTTGGGGGGATTTGTTTCTGTCTGTTGCTCAGTAAAGCTCAGCCCTCTGTACAGTAGCAGCCATTCAAAATGGACCTTCCCAGTCAAAAGCCATCAGAATGGCAGCCCACTTCCCTCCAACTCCCAGCCACTGGAGTGACCCCCTCTTCCATTTTTTTTACTCTGACTCCACCCTTTCAATGAATTCCAGGGTCTGACCAGGAGATGGCACTTCTCTTTAGATCCTAATGTCCACCACTCTTGACAGAAAGAATATTTTAATACAAATACTAATACAATAATACAAGGGCCAATGAAAACCAGCCAAGGGCCAAGAAAGAACCAGCCAAGGGCCAATAAAGAACCAGCCAAGGGCCAGGAAAGAA